GCGTCACTCAGAAAACAACAGGCCAATCAGAAGAGAGGCTCATGAATATTAATTAGACAGGCCAAAATCGACCTGCTCTCAGCAGAGATTCTGAGAGAGGAGCTGTAAAAATATATTGAGAAGGTTTTTGGTGCTTATACCGCAAATATATATTCTTAAGGACATCAAAACCTAAAATAAAACTCCAGAAAGGTGTAAAATATGTGACCTTTAATAACTAATCACATTACAGCCTTGACGTCATTGCCATTTACGGATACCATAGGAATGAATGAAAAGTGCCGTAAGCTGTATCCCACCTGTCGCAAAAAGTCAGTGACTTCTCTTATAAAACAGCATTTTTTTCGGGTGTAGACTCTAAAAAAGTATTGCTTAGTGTAAAACATGTTGGAGATTAGCTGATAGGCTGTCAATTCATTAAATGATAAGCCGTTTCCTCTAAAAAGCTGTTTACATTTTTTTGACATCCATTCAAATAAAACGGCTTCTGGTCTCCTTTCCCACATACTGGCAAACCGGAAGCGTTAGAATTAGCCGTTACGCTTTTTCGGCAAAAGGTTCTAGTGGCTTTGGTAAAGGCACAGCCCTATTCTGGAATGGGGGGGCGGGGAGCAGAAGCTCATTTGCATTTAAAGATACAGGCAAGAAAACAGAGTGTTTCTGCTTCCACTCAAAATAGGCATTTTCAAAATAAGATAACAATATTGTCTGTGGGGTATTTTGAGCTGAAACTTCACAGACACATTCTGTGGACACCTGAGACTTATATTACATTTTGTAAAAAGGGGCATAATAGTTGCCCTTTAAGCAAAAGACAAGAAAGAAGGAAAATATGAGTGCATGAAGAATATGGTTAGTTGCTTTATTAGCCTAAATTATACTGTATAATTTCAAAACCTGAAGCAAAAACAGAATGGTCTGACTTTAGCTTTGTGAAATTAGGCTACATAAAACATACCAAACAGCAGATGGGCTAATGAAAATGCAAATTCACTCTCTGTCAGCAAGTGGCGCTAATGGAACTGCAGTGATGCATTGTTTCCTTGATTACCACTGTAAACACTAAATGCATTATACAGAGGCAAGATGAAAAGAAAATACCATCTAAACATTTTCTTAAAGGGGTCATATAATGCTATTTTAAAGATCATTATTTTGTGTATTTGGTGTAACAGAATATGTTGACATGCTTTAATGTTCAAAAAACACATTATTTTTCAAATACTGTAGATTATTGTAGGTCCTCTATGCCCCGCATCTCTCAAACACGTCGTTGTCAACAAAGCCCCCTCCTTTGACAAAGCGCAGTCTGCTCTGATTGGCCAGCTGACCCAGTGCATTGTGATTGGCCGAACACCACAAGCACACGTCGGAAATGTAACGCCCCTTACCATAATCGCGAGCTTCAAGCTTTCAAAGTAAATATCAAGACAGTTAATAATGTCGTTAGTTTTACCATCAGTTCAAGCCCGAAAGGGCAACAGAGGGCAACGACATGACAGACACAGTGATGATGCAGTACACAAGCCGCGGTTAAGACAGCTGACGTGCTATGATTTCTGACAGGCAGTTCACTCTCCTGTGATGTGACCCTGTTCCCCTCACACACACACACACGACGTGTTACTCTGCGCTGCGCAAAACTCCGCATTTGAACAGTCAATAGCAAATACTTAAACTAGTAACTTCCGGAAGGCCAAATAAAGTGCTTTTGCTTTTACACTGAATCACACAGTGTCTCCCTGACATGGCTGCATCAACACTTCTGCTATTCCTCAAACCACGCCTTCTTTCTTTGCATGCACATTTGGGCGGCATTATGCTAATATTTCCACATAGTTGCACCAAGAGCTTGTAACACTCCAAAGAGAAAGGAAAACTTGAAATCGCATCATATGACCCCTTTTCTTAAGATAGTCCAGGTGATATGTGCAAAATTTGAGGTGATATGTTCACTTTTTCATAAAAGCTTGAAACTTGGTATAATTGTACAGGTTAGGGCCCTGAACATTTCCAGAAATGGAGCCATTGCAAAAACACCTTGTGGTTGCCATGGCGACCATTTTACTTTCCGCCATAACCAAATTAAGTATTTTGTGTCATAGCTCCTGAACCAAACATGATAACACTGAAAAGGTGATGTCTACCCCTTTGTTTTGATGGTCAAGGATTACAATGTTACCATATACAAAAGCATAAACTGTTCAGGTGAAGAGTTAATGGTGAAATCAGCAATGTGAGAAGGAAATAACACTAGCTGAGCATTATAGTATCACAGCATTTGCAAAAGTCCATATTATGACTATTATTTTTTTTTTCTTTCTTTGATAATTAACTAATATTTCATTCAACAGTACAATAAAAGATTGCTTTAAAGGGGTCATATGATGCTACTAAAAAGAACATTATTTTGTGTATTTGGTTTAATGAAATGTGTTTATGCGGTTTAAAATAAAAAAACACATTATTTTCCACATACTGTACATTATTGTTTCTCCTCTATGCCCTGCCTTTTTAAAATGCGTCGATTTTTACAAACCTCATCGGTCTGAAAAAGCGAGGTGTGCTGTGATTGGCCAGTTATCCAATGCATTGTGATTGGCCAAATTCCTCAAGCGTGAGACGGAAATGTTACACCCCTCACCATACTGTTGATGCCGTGTCCCGGCCTGAGCGAAGAGACAAAAACATTAAAACCCATTACAAACGAGGCATTTGTTGCATCCAGTGGGATATAATTACTGACTATAGTGACTTATACTGTCTTTTTACGCGTTGCGTTGCATCGCGTGAACAAAACTCTGTCTGCATTTGTGATCAGAAAAATGACAAACAACAAGTGCTACTCTACTGCCCAAAACTCACGTTTGAATCATCAGTGGCAAATCCTTTAAATGAAAACGTACTTACAGACTGTGAGTCAGAACTGCCGGCATTTTAGTCTAACGTTACTCTCCCAGGATCAGGAAACAGTCCTCCATAAAATGTGCTGCACACATCTGGATATTTGGGTTAAACTGTTCTGGAACAGTGTTGTAAATACAACTTAACCACTGATTTGTAGTCGTGTCCTCTTTTGGAAGACCAAACAAAGTAGTTTCGCTTTCACGAAGAAAAACACAGCGGCCTAGCGTGAGGGGAAGCCTGATAGAGTGAGCTGAGGCCGGGCTAGAGTGAGCTGAGGCGGCGGGGTCGAGAACGGCGTGTCCGGCAGATCCGACGAATGAGCGGCAACCACATGTGACGACCCCGGGCTGGACTCCGCTTCGTCCACGGTGAAAGTTGATGTATTCCCTCAGCGACCAGCACAGATCAGCTCTAGGCATGATGAAGCGGATATCGTCCTCTTTTGGAAGACCAAACAAAGTAGTTTCGCTTTCACAACGAAGCACACAGCGTCTTCAAAACATGGCTGCAGAGTCAACAATACTACAGTGAGAATAAAAGTTATGCCTTCTTTCTTTGCGTGAACATTTGGGTGGCGTTATGCAAATCTTCCCACATAGTGAGGTAGATATGTGGGGGCGTGTTAGAACGAGCCGTTTTAGGTAGGTGTGGCTGACTCTGAACTTTTATAAAGAATATCTCTTTGGATTTGAGACTTTAGTCTTTGCAACTTTACAGATCTTCTTTATGCACCAAGAGCTTGTAACACTCCAAAGAGAAAGGAAAAATTGAAATCGCATCATATGACCCCTTTAATTAATTAATTATTCATTTGTTACATTTATAAAGAGCTTTTCTGGGTACTCAAAGCACCTTACATGAATCTCCTCAACCACCACCAATGTGCAGCATCCACCTGGATGATGTGACGGCAGCCATATTGCACCAGAACGACCGACACACAAGCTTAACTAATATTTTATTCAATAGTACAATAAAAGATTGTTTTCAAGAAAACAATCACAGATATAAAAAATTCCTGTAAAGAGGAGCTGTATGGGCTGCTGTCCTCATTCTCTGTGGATGGCAGTCCACTTGTAGTCTTTGGTGACTTTGAACTCCATCTGAAGAAGCCTTACACTGCAGACTTCCACTTCCACTCCTAACTTCATTCGATCTCAAATGGCTCACTACCACAAGCACTAACAAATCAGGCAACCAGCTTGACTTAATTTACACATGCAATTGTATCACAGACAACATTTGGTAAAACCTCTAGACATCTCTGCTAATTACTTTATTACAATTACTACCTGTGTGCCACCAATTCCTCTACCAGTTACTTTTAGGCAAAACCTATGCTCCCTTTCACCTTTCCATCTTTCCCCTCTAGTGTCCTCCTCTCTTCCCTCAGCCACCCATTTCTCATCTCTGGATGCAAATACAGCAACGGACACTTTATGATCCACTTTAACTTCTTGTCAAGACAATATCTGTCTAGACAGGCCAGTGCATAATACCCCTTCTAACCTAAAAAGTTGCCCCATGCATCATCATCTTTAAGAATTTATTGAAGATGGTAGTGTAGCAGTTCTTCAATAGCGATGTTAGCATGTCTTCCTTCAAACAATTTTACCCTTGTATGAATCCTAGCTTCTCCCAAAGTTCTGTCTGTGGGATATAATTTTAGCGATAGCTTATTCCAAATCATCAGTTCTTATTCTGCTGGATCTATCTGCCACTTTTGACACTGTGAATCATCAGATTATCCTGTCTGCCATCACCGGATCTGCACTCCACTGGTTTGAATCTTATATCACAGGTAGGTCTTTCAGGGTTTCCTGGGGAGGAGAGATATCCAAAGAACATCAACTGGCCAGAGGGTTTCCTCGGGGATCAGTTCTTGGGCCCCTCCTCTCTTCACCATATGCACTACATCACTGGGACCCATTATACAAGCACATGGTTTCTCCTACTATTGCTATGCTGATGACACACTTCTCTATCATTCATTTCAACCAGAAAATCCAATAGTAGCTGCATGGATCTCAGGCTGCCTGGCAAACATCGCGGCATGGATGAAGGACCTGCAGCTCAACCTGACAAAGACTGAGCTTCTTGTTTTCCCTACCACTTCGACTCTACATCATGATTTAATCTGATAGGTTCATAAAAAAATTATTCTTTGGTGACCAGCTGACCTTCAAGGACCATATTGTAAAGACAGCTCGATCATGCAGGTTTGCATTGCACAACATCAGGAGGATCAGGCCCTTACAAACAGAGCATGCTGCACAACTTCTTGCCCAGGCCCTTGTCATTTCTAGGTTGGACTATTGCAATGCTCTTCTAGCTGGACTTCCACCATGCGCAATCAAACCTCGACAAATGTTTCAGAATGCAGCGGCACAACTACTCTTCCATGAGCCCAAAAGGGCCCACTTCACACCTCTCTTTATCTCTCTGCACTGGCTACCGGTTGCAGCTCACATCATGTTCAAGACATTAACTTTTGCGTACAGAACAGCCACAGGCTCAGCACCCTCCTACTTCCCCCTCACTCTTACGAATCTACATCCCCTACTGAAGCCTGAGATCTGTAAGTAAGCGATACCTTGTGGTAACTAGTGTTGCTTTCGTCAACGAAAATTATTACTAAATATTGTCGTCAACGAATCTTTATCACGTGACGAAAACGAGACGAGACGCAACGTAAATGCTGGTCATGTGACGATAATTAAAAGTATAATTCAATATTGTTGATGAATAAAAACGAGACTAAATGTGGTTTACAAAATAAAAACTATGCTAAAATGTCTCTTCATTTTCGTTGACCAAAACGAGACAAAACAAAATGTTATAACGTTATTTCGTCTCGTTTAGTCGCGTTATTATTATTATTTTGCAGTATTTATGTTTCCTGTGTCTCACTTCAGGGGCTGCATCAGGTCGCACTGTGCAGACGCAGGTGACGTCACTTCCTCAAGCCCCACTCGCGGTATTATTTAGAAGACGACAACAAACAAAGTTAAGTCTGACACAGAGAAAGAAGAAGGGCCTTTCGCACAGCGGGAACATTTTCATAGTACCAGAACTAATTGTGGAACTACCCACTTTTTGGCATTTTCGCACCGCCGGAACTAGGTGCGATTTTATTACCGGACTGCCTTTTTCGAGAACCAAATTAGCTCCTACTCCGGACCAGGGTCTAACCAGCACAACTGGTACTAATCGTGAAGTAAGTAGACATTGATTGGCCAAACGCATATGAAAACGCCCTCACCCGCCATGATTTAAAACGCAGTGTAAACATACTGTAAACATTGTGTCAACTTATTTCGCAAGTATGGAGAACAGTGATAGATGGACGGACGCTGAAGTTCAGGCACTTGTAGCAAATGTAGCACTGCCAGTTGTCGTTGGAGATTCTTAGTCCTTCTTTCCGTTCTTTCAATCTCTTTATGTATACGTCGACTTTCCATGTCCATTATTGTGAAACCCGCGAGACACAACAAAATCACAGCTCCGATCACAGCGTCCTCCATCCTCCTGTTGTTAATGTTGTTCTTCTTCGTTTCTGTTGTTGAACGCCGCGCACAAATGACGACGCTGTCGACCGGCTTACGTCACTTCTTAGTACACACTCTCGGTGCGAATGCAACCCTTTAAATGGTACTGGGAAATAATTCGCGCAAAATCGTCCCAGTCCTTTAGTACTGTACATTTATGGCGCTTTTCCACTGCGTGTTACGACTCGGCTCGGTACGGCTCAGTACGGTACGGCACAGCTTGGTTCGGCTTGGTTTGCATTTCCACTGCAGTTTAGTATCGCTTTAGAGTGGGCAGGATTATTCACATGTCGTTATAGTTGTGCCGCCTCTACTGCCGCGACTCCTAAAAACGTTTTCATTCTGCGTCGCCCCATCAAGCTCTCGCTGGATCCGCTCCTCTGCTATCAACGAGAGGAACGTCTGTACTTCCTCAACAGGGGGAACAGCCACTTTTTGGTTGTTAAAAAAAAGTGCACTCGTTCAAAACAGTTGCGTTCGATCCTTCGCTGGCTGTGCCGATTTAAATCTAGCGGTTCTTTTGTGTTTGTATCTCATGTCGCAAGTTCAGTGACGCAGGTAGTGACAATTCTCTCCAGCCAATCCGTGATCAGCAGAGTTTACACGTCACATTTTGGTAATGGTACGGTACGCTTGGAACCCCAACCGAAGTGGTACTAAAAAAATTACTGGTGGAAAACCCCCCAAAAGTGAACCGTACCGAGCCGTACCGTGCCGTACCATGCAGTGGAAAAGCGACATTAGTTCTGGAACTAAAGCGGTGCGAAAGGACCGATGGCCATGTTTATGTAGTTGCTGTTGAGACTGCTGGTTATTTGGTTCAATAGTTGACATAATTCAGTATTGTTTATTCTTTTCTGTCAACGAATTCCACTGTATGCAGCTAGTACTTTCCGTCCCATTATATCTCTCTAAGGTCCAAACCATTTGTAGTGTTATATATTTTAATAGTTTTTATGATGCAAAATCTGACTTCAGTTTACAAGCAATACAAATAACAGACACACACATTTTATTTTTTTCTGGCACTGTCATGTGATGCTATTTTATTTATTTTATTTTATTTATTGTTTTTATTTATTTTATTTAAATGTATATGTGTGTACTTCTAACATGTTTGGTTGGTAAAATAAATGTTGTAAATTCAAATCAGAGCGTCTTCCGTGTCTGGAATGGATGTATTCTTGGTAACAATAATATAATAAGATAACCTTGTTTGAAATGGGTTTGGCTAAAAGAACATTTTGGTTTCGTCTATACTACTAGGTACTTATACTATATTGACTGGGTTAAATAGAATTGCATTACTAAAAAGAGACTAAAATACAATTTTCATTGACTAAAACTAGACTAAATGTCATCAGTTTTCGTCGACTAAAACTAGACTAAAATTTCATCAGTTTTCGTTGACTAAAACTAGACGAAAATAGTCATGGATAATTCTGACTAAAATAAGACTAAAATGCTCAAACTTTTAGTTGACTGAAACTTGACTAGACTAAAAAGAGTATGAACATGACTAAAACTAATAAAAACTAAAATGACAGCTTCACACAAAACATTTTCACTAGACTAAAACTAAAATTAAAACAGGCCACCAAAAACAACACTAGTGGTAACAGATGCATTTTCGTTCACCTTTCCTGGCTGGTGAAATGATCTTCCCATAATGGCAGTAATTAAAGGGATAGTACACCCAAAAATGAAAATTAGCCCAATATTTACTCACCCTCAAGCCATCCTAGGCGTATATGACTTCCTTCTTTCAGATTAATCCAATCTGTGTTATATCAAAAATTTTGTTTGATCTTCAATGGCAGTCAGTGGGTGTTGCAGTTCATCAGTCCAAAAGAAGTGAAATAAAACACATCCATCCACAATAAAAAGGGGCTCACACGGCTCCGGGGGGTGAATGAACAAAGGCGTCCTGTGGCGAATCTATGCATTTTTGTAAGAAAAATATCCATATTCAAAACTTAATAATCACTTTAATGTAGCTTGCGCCAACAGTTGTACACGGACGCAGCTCCGGGATGATGACGTATGAGGTCAGCATTGCGCATGCAACTCGTGAAGTCTCGTGAAAACCAACGTTTGTTTACAGAGGCAAAGGAAGTAAAGTTTCCTTATTTTAGCAAAGGAAAACCAGTCTCCTCTTGGCATATATCAAAATCCTCCGACATTCTTCTTTACAAATTCTCGTTTTGTACTTCTAATTCCTGACCGTTGTTTTGATCTCTCCCCTGCGCTTCCGCGTTCGTCACTTCTGAGCGGCGCATGCGCAACACCGACATCCTACATCATCTGCCCAGAGCTGCTTCCGTGTACAACAGTGAGCGCAAGCTAGATTAAAATTGATTGTTACGTTTTAAATAAGGTCATTTTTTTTACAAAAACGCATCGATTCGCTAAAGGTTGCCTTAGTTCACCCCCCAGAGCCGTGTGAGGCACTTTTATTATGGATGGATGTGCTTTATTTAACTTCTTTTGGACTGATGAACTGCAATACCCGCTGACTGCCATTAAACAGCTTGGAAGATCAAAGACAATTTTTAATATAACCCCGACTGGATTCGTCTGAAAGAAAAAAGTCATATACACTAGGATGGCTTGAGGGTGAGTAATTCATGGGCTAATTTTTATTTTTTGGTGAACTAACCCTTTAACAGAACACACGACACGTTATCTGACAGCAACACTAATTTAATCCCATACCCAACCTATTTGACATAAAAACTGGGACCCGAACCGCACCTGCATTAAATCTCCTACATGAGCTAGACAAAACTCATTTATTAAAACTTTTATTCAAATTGTGAATAATATTAAATACAGAAAGCAAGCAAAGAGCACTCCCTCTAATATAATCACTACAGCTGTCAATTAGTGGCAGCGCGATTGGTTACATTGCTCAGCGTGTACTGGACCGAGTCGAAATAGTCTTGGTTATTGGACATGCAGGACTCTGGCTTCCCCCTTGTGGACAACATAATAGACAACTCTGGCCCCAGAGAGTGAATGTAAATTAAGTTTACATGAAATATATTTGAAATTTAAAATCCGTAAAATCCATTTTCTCTCAGGTACATGCAGTGTAAGCTTCACGGTGAATACTTCTACATCACTCTTGTCAATGTAGTCCATAGCAAAAAAGAAAAGAAATTTTGAGCGGTATGACTATAAAATATATCATATAAAATTATATATACAAAATAAACATTCATCAATCTGTACTTTTTACTTAATTTAAGTACATTAAAAATCAAGTACTTTTGTACTTTCACTCAAGTAAATTTCGAAAAGGAGTACTCCATACTTTTATTGGAGTAATATATTGTACTATACTTATCTGTACTTTTACTCAAGCACTTGATTTGTGTACTTCGTCCACCACTGCTGCCAGTTAGTGATATGCATGATACATTTAGGCATGAGTTTGTGGGTTCGCACAATCATTATGAAATTATATAAAATACCAAGGGTTGGATTTAGTTTGCCATTTGGATTATTTTTATAAGATCCCATGAGTCCTAATAAATGCAATTTCAACTATTTCTGAAGTGCTTCTTGTTGGAAAGTACTCTTACCAGAATGTTTTTTGTTGGACTTGTGTAGGCCTATGTTTTTTTTCTCTTTTGTTAAAAACTGTTAAATTATTAAGCAGTGTAGATTTTTTCCCCCTTGAATTTTATGCACTGACCACTGGGAGGTGCTCTGGGCATATATTTTTATTTCTTGGTTTTCTTCCCCAATGTGATGTACAGGTGCATCTCAATAAATTAGAATGTCGTAGAAAAGTTCATTTATTTCAGTAATTCAACTCAAATTGTGAAAGTCGTGTATTAAATAAATTCAATGCACACAGACTGAAGTAGTTTAAGTCTTTGGTTCTTTTAATTGGGATGATTTTGGCTCACATTTAACAAAAACCCACCAATTCACTATCTCAACCAATTAGAATATGGTGACATGCCAATCAGTTAATCAACTCAAAACACCTGCAAAGTTTTCCTGAGCCTTCAAAATGGTCTCTCAGTTTGGTTCACTAGGCTACACAATCATGGGGTAGACTGCTGATCTGACAGTTGTCCAGAAGACAATCATTGACACCCTTCACAGGGAGGGTAAGCCACAAACATTCATTGCCAAAGAAGCTGGCTGTTCACAGAGTGCTGTATCCAAGCATGTTAACAGCAAGTTGAGTGGAAGGAGAAAGTGTGGAAGAAAAAGATGCACAACCAACCGAGAGAACCGCAGCCTTATGAGGATTGTCAAGCAAAATCGATTCAAGAATTTGAGTGAACTTCACAAGGAATGGACTGAGGCTGGGGTCAAGGCATCAAGAGCCACCCAGACACAGACGTGTCAAGGAATTTGGCTACAGTTGTCGTATTCCTCTTGTTAAGAAGAAGAACTGGACTGTTGCCCAGTGGTCCAAAGTTCTCTTTTCAGATGAGAGCAAGTTTTGTATTTCATTTGGAAACCAAGGTCCTAGAGTCTGGAGAAAGGGTGGAGAAGCTCATAGCCCAAGTTGCTTGAAGTCCAGTGTTAAGTTTTCACAGTCTGTGATGATTTGGGGTGCAATGTCATCTGCTGGTGTTGGTCCATTGTGTTGGAAACCAAATTATTGAAAACCAAAGTCACTGCACCCGTTTACCAAGAAATTTTGGAGCACTTCATGCTTCCTTCTGCTGACCAGCTTTTTGAAGATGCTGGTTTCATTTTCCAGCAGGATTTGGCACCTGCCCACACTGCCAAAAGCACCAAAAGTTGGTTAAATGACCAACTTAAATGATTTAAACTACTTCAGTCTGTGTGCATTGAATTTATTTAATACACAAGTTTCACAATTTGAGTTGAATTACTGAACTTTTCCATGACATTCTAATTTATTGAGATGCACCTGTACATTCTATCAAATGTAATCTATCTAGGTGGTTGAATAAAATTATTTGGACATTATATTTTAAACAAAAATACCTCAAGATTTAATTTTTGTTCAAAATCTAATAAAATGAAAACTCTGGACATTTGACATACTTGGTTTATAATTTATGTCATTGTCACTGCAAACAAGGATAACTATTCTGGAAACGTTTAATTTCTGATTCACAGAAAAAACTTACACAGTTCTTAAGGGTGGCATTTCCCCCCACTCTACCCATGAATTATTATGAATTGTCAAGTAGCCAGTAGAAGGATTTGTGGATCCAGACAAAAAAAAAAAAAAACATAAAAATAGACGTCACATACCCAGCACAATGTTGTACTTTGGTTGCAGTTAGGTAATGTTGTAGTACAACATTTTAAAAACTTTTTTTTTTAATAAAAAAATAAATAATGTAAGCAAAATAAAACTTTTTAGAAACATTGTGAAAATACTTACCTGGTATGTTTTCTTTTAGTCAAAAAAACGTAAATTTCACGTTTGTCTACAATGAAAACAAAACAAGACCAATCGGCAACTTTTGGGAGACGTTTTATTCAGGTGTTAAAATAACGTAATCTGCACGTTGGAATAAGGCGTTTAAAAAACGTCATGACAGTACCAAAATACATGCCAAATATCCTATGCTGTATTCTGTTTGTGTGAAAATATTAGTAAAATATCAGTAACAGTTTAACATTAAAGCGATTCAATGACAGATTAGTCTGTATGCAGCCCGTGCATCTGATATCAAAGACAAAAGGTATGATACTAAGATGGCGCCGCAGACGGCAGCCGCAGTGTTTGGCTCTCCAGTGTTTGTACTGTTTTTGTTAGTTTTTCCTGTTTTTTGTTTCTCAAACACGATCAGTTTTACCAGGGATGAGCTGCTGAACATTCGGCAGAACACACCACACAATCTTCTACCGGATTTCGTTTATTCGGAGTCACTACTTGAAACTGAAAAATTTGCTGTTCATCTTCAACAGAAGATGGTTTTCAAAATTACGAGAATTCAGTCTTGCTCTTCTTGGGCTGAAGACTAGTCCTGCGATGCTAAATAGCCTTTCACATGCTGCAGAAGCTGTTAGAGGTGTGTTTAGCTTCACAGACAGCTTGCCTGCAGCTGGGAAGGATTTCAACAAGTCCATGTGATCTTCTGAACTGGCCAAGTATCTGTCGTTTGGAGCCGTCTTGTGCTTGAGACGACTGCAGGGCAGAGAAGAAGTTATTCTTGTCAGATGAACTGGATCTAGCATCAGCTCGTTGCAGGGAGGAGTCATCTATGCGCTGCTCGATGTAGTCCATTCCTGAAATAGTAAGCAAGAAAATATCAAGTAAAATATAAATAATATAAATTAATTAAACTTTTAAAATGTCTTGACCTCAACCCATGTTGTTTTACCTATTCTGATTGTAGCTTCATCCTTTGTCCAAGTTGTTTAAAATTTTGGGAGAAGAGATTGTCAGTAAGTTGACTGTTGGAAGTAGCCACCCCATCTGGGCATTTGCCTCTGCTTGCAAGATGTTGGTTGCCTGGGCGACTGGGCTCATAGAAGGAGCATATTCAGTGAGGAATGCAAGTTCAGCTGGATTAAACCTGTAATACAACAACACCGTTCAATAACATTATATAACCATTCATCTAGCGAAAAAAAGCTAAAATGGACCAATGATAAGTGGAATTTGGGATACAATTAATCCCCAAGAAACGGTTTGGAATCACTTGGATGGTTGTAAAAACATTTAAGGCATTTTGTTAAATTATGATAACAAAAAAACATGCACAATTCTGAATCAATAAGTCAAGTCAAGTCACCTTTATTTATATAGCGCTTTTAACAATACAGATTGTGTCAAAGCAAAGGACTAATATGGTCATACTTCTTGGTTCTAGTAAGAACTCTAGCTGCTGTATTTTGGACCAGCTGGAGTTTGTTTATTAAGTGCGCTGAGCAACCACCCAATAAAGCATTACAATAATCTAACCTTGAGGTCATGAATTAACATTTCTGCATTTGACATTGAGAGCTTAGACACAGTATACTCACAATATGTCCTAAACAAATCTAAGCAAATCTCAACTGCTTGATTGTTTATATCATGGCAAAATGTGAACTATATTATCGCCTATCTCTAATCTGCTAAATGTGACTATAATGAAGATATTATCAGTGTTGGGCAGTAACGCATTACTTAGTAACGCGTTACTGTAATTAGATTTTTTTTTTTAGTAACGGAGTAATTTAACGCGTTATAATTTTCAAAATAGTAATTAGAGTATAGTTACAAGCCGGCCCTGTTGAAAAAACCAGCATATGCTGGTTAGGTATGTTTTGACGCTGGGATGCTGGTTTAAGCTGGTCCTTTGCTGGGTTATGCTGGTCCTTTTGCTGGTTTATGCTGGTCCTTTGCTGGTTTATGCTAGTCATGTGCTGGCAAAGGACCAGCATAAACCAGCAAAGGACCAGCTTAAACCAGCATCCCAGCGTCAAAACATACCTAACCAGCATATGCTGTTTTTTTCAACAGGGGAGGTCTCTATACGTTACTGCCGCTTTACATTGCTGACAGAATGCAGTGTTTCATAATCTAGAGATTGTAAAAAGGATGTAGCACACCCATTGTCAAGTCAAGTGCCAGTGGATTAGAGACCTGCCCCCGCGAGACCTGATGCAACAGAGTGCGGCCTGGGACAAGACACTCGTGTGTGTGTGGGATGCGGGAGAATAAAATGATTCACAGGACTCCCGCAAAATAGAAATATAGACATACAATATCTATTCATCTCTTGCACAAAAGCTACATGAACTAATAGAAAATATAAATATAGACATACAATATCTATTCATCTCTTGCACAAAAGCTACATGAACTAATAGAAAATATAAACGATTAACAGGTGCAAGCTTATGCCGAGCTTCTATTTAGGCTATAACACGTGTTTGCAGTGTTGAGCAATGCAGTGCTGAAATTTGCATGTTCACGAATCCTCTCATTATAACACACGAATTGTAGACATTATGAAAGATTCATTATGCATATATTTATTGTGTTATAACAGATTTGTGAGATTGCGATGAACTGAGATGTCTTTTAGAAATTATAAATACAGCACCCTTAGCTGGCATTCTGCCATGCCAAACCATGCACACAGCAGCCGCTTGCTTTAGTTAAAAATAACAGTGTTCTGTGAATGTTGATGCTTTAATAACAAATATTTATCGGGAGCGTGTATGCTGGGATTTCATAAAATTCATGGAGAAAAAAGTAACGTAACTAGTAATGTAACTAATTACTCATTACTTTTGAAATAAGTAATCAGAACAGTAACGTGATTACTTTTAAAAGGAGTAATCAGTCATTTGATTACATTTTCAGAGTAACTTGCCCAACACTGGATATTATAAACATTATCATACTTCTCTGTACAACTGCTTTGAAACTATGTGTATTGTGAAAAGCTCTATACAAATACATTTGATGACCTATTTTGACATTTTTCACTTATTTAAATATATATTGCATATATTAAAAAAACGTTAACATGCTGCTTCTTGCATGTTTTAGAAATGTTAGAGTTATGTAATTGTACACGTGCTGCATAGAGCACATTTGCTCTATATGCAGTTTAATTCTGTTGGTAACCTGAACTCGGTCACTGCATGAATGGTAAGCACACATTTGACTGTGTCAACAAAACTAACCGCCTCACTGGCCACCTCAGCACACACAGTGCACAACAATGCATCGCTTTTGCTCTTTTACTAGTACTGAACTCATGGAGAAAACTCTTAATGAAAATTGTTCAACTGCTTGACAATTATTTGTCTAGGAGGGTTAATTCATCTACAAGAAAGACTACTCACTTCCGAAAGAAATGTTGATCCGGCATGTGACTGTTTTGGATCAAGTTTAATTCTCTCCAGCTTCATTTGGAACAAGTCAGCGGAGCAGTTTATCCTCTACTGGCTAGGTTCACTTAGTTGCAGTCTTTAATATATCCTGTAATTTCAAGACATTCACCATCACAACTGAGGTGGCAAGTTATTGTTTCGGTCTATGATTATCTGAGTACATTTCTGCAATTATGTCTTCTCCTGGTAAGATGGGGGCAGTTTCAAGGTCAGCAAGAAGACTTTCACGAACAAAAAGCAAGAAAAAACATTTTGTACATCAAAAAGTGGAAGTATTCTGGGCGAGCGATCCCATCTTGACTGTGTTTATGTGGGGCATCAATCACACGGTATGTTACTGCAGACCTTTATTCTATATATGAAAACAATTACCTACTGTTTGTTTTTGCTTTAGTGCTTGAAATTGTTATGTTGCTTAATTGCTTAAGTATAATGCACATTATTTATTATTGTTGTTATGGCATTGGGAGAATGGCTTTAATTAATATCAACACCAACATAAACACAATATTTTAACCTTTGCAGATAAACGACCTCTTTCAAGTGCCTATGCCAGTAATGCTACTTCCAGATGACTTCAAAGCCAACATAAAAATGAAAGTCAACAACCATTTATTCAACAAGTATGTTGAAGTATTCAACCATTTTACTACATTAAGCACAGTTGACTCCTGTCATCACAAATTACTATTTGGCAGAGCTTTGGTTTAGTGCAGTACAAAAGATGACTAGATAAGGTTGACTACATTTACATAGATACATGGCAAATACTTTATGTAGTTTGATTAATCTAGACATATCTGGTCTCATAGTCACAGTTTTTAGACCATTTTATGTGGCTGCACTATGAACTGCACAAAGCTTTTTAAAACTCATAATCCGCCCTGGCATGATTTTGTTTTTTTGTAATGGGTTGCTGGCAAACAGTCCAAACTAGTGACCTCACTGAAATGCAATCTTAGTCACAGTTCTTATTAATTAGCAAAAACACGAGAACAAAAAATTGTTTATTTAGACACATGGCATGTGTCACGGTGTGTGGAGGAAGGCAGGATGACGACAAGGATTCCAATAAAGATATTTAATGTAGACACAAGGCAGATTTAGGAAGATCGATCTCTCTCTCACTCACACACACACACACACACACACACACACACACACACACACACACACACACACACACGTAATGCTGTGGATCTACGGCTGAAATACAAATGACACTCACCTCACTCACCTCACTCACCTCACTCACCTCACTCAAGGTAACATTCACAATAACCGACAATACTAGAATACAAGAGACAGGAACTTATAGGGCAGATAACGAGGGGCAGACAGGTGAGCACACTGAGGATAAATTAACTAATGATTGAACGGGCTAAACCAACAAAAGGGGAAGAAACCACAATAAACAGTCCACAGGACTTTCTTTTTTGGTCTGGACTAAAAGAACCAGGAGAAACGAATAAGTGTTAACACACCCATAATGTCTTAAATCACAGAGTGAGCAAAAAAAATTCAATAAAATAAAATAAGTTTGCCTTTTAATATTTTATTTCCTTACTGTTAAGTGGGTTTGTTAGAATTATTAGAGGTGCACTTATGCTGTTAAAATCCACAATGTTCATTTATTTGTACATTTTCAGGGAAAACCTCCCTGGACATTTTAAGTTTAAGGAGTACTGCCCACTGGTGTTCCGGAATCTGCGAGAGCGATTTGGAGTTGAACATCAGGATTATCTGGTATGAATTTTTTGTACAGTTTAAGTCTGATTGCATGAGAAGATGAAACATTCCTGTGTTATTTTTGAGCATAGTTCTCAACTGTACTTTATCTGTACTTTAAAAAGTTACATATGAATCAAAATCAAGTTTGAACCACAATTGTTCCACACAACATTTTGCTGTGAGTTTGCAAAAACTCTGCAGAAAGCCTCTCTTTTGCATTATTTGCATGAATCAGGTCAGGTAGGCCTACTATACAAAGGACTTCATAGGTGTTTTTTTAGGTCACGTGCTCAACTACATTTGAATGGTGGCTATCATTTGCTTTTATGTTTGCATGAGGCACTTGCCAATGTATTCTGCATTATGTATGTCTGCTTATAAAATGTGCTTTCTTTATTTTATTTTGTAATTCTTTATATGGAGTTTTATGTCACAGCGCATTGCAAGCACCTAGTAGCCCAGACAGAATCTACATTTTACCAACAGAGCATATTCTATAGAAAAGCCTTTGTTTTTTTTATTTTCTTTTAATACTTCCATACTCCAGTGGATCAGCATCCTACACCACTTTGTGTTCAAGGATTCTGACTCCTTTCCCACTGCATTGCTTTCCAGCACGTCCATCAGTGGAAGATACCACCACCATTGGACTGTTCACTCAACCAATTATTATCATTATTACATTTTTATTTGACATGGACATCACAGTTACATTGGACAAACCATATGCACTTGCTTAAGTGTTTTAGCACACAGGCTAATTTTCAACACTAGTCCACGGGAGGCTTTTCAATGAGCAAAAAAAGAAAGAGAAAAAAAAATTAACAATGCTGATAATAAAAAATAAAAAAGAATGCATCTCATAATCTTGTACTGCAGTTATATCTGATCAGATGCACATTATTATTCTTTAGCTTGGGTTAAACAAATCAATTTTGCTTGGTTGGAACAGTAGCTACGCTAATTATGTCTCTATTTGTTTCTCTGTTTCTGCCACGGGATTGACATCCCTGTCACGGGTTGTCGAGGAATGAGGACAGCAAACGAAGATGCATACTTCCAAACAGACTTTACTGAGAATACTGATTTGGTACAACACATAACATAAGCTAATAACCGACAAAGGATAGAACAGAATCAGGACTATAAGTACACACATGGTAAATGAGGGAACTAAACAAGAACAGCTGGACAAGGATTAACTAATCAGAAACAATGGTAACTATTGAGGGCTCATAACAGACATGACAGGAACTGAACTAAACTGAACATAATCGTGATATTAGCTCCCCCTCTCGGAAGGCGTGACCTCACGCCACAACAGTAGATAATAGAAAAGAGGGCGGGGGCTTAGGTGGAGGGCGTGGTGCTGATGAAGGACAGGAACCTGGAGAAATCGGAGGAGACCAACACCATGGAGGGAGGAGCTTTGGCTGAAGGACTGGGCGACACCCAGAAGCCGATCCACGGAGGCGGAACCAGGGTATGTGGAGAAACCGGCGGGGCAGAGAGGCCGACGGACCAGGGCGACATCGAAGGCCTGGAAGCCCAAGGTGGAGCGGCTGGCTCGCGTGACTGAGGCGGAGCCAGGCATTCGGCTGACCAGGGCGACAATGGAGCGAGCGAGGACGACGGGGAAACCAGAGGAAGGGAGGAGCCCGGTGAAGCTGAAGGGGTGGAGTTTCGAGGCGCAGCTGGAGACATCGATGATCCAATGATCTTCAACAGATCATTGGAGCTGTGTGAAGTTCCCTGCTGCTTCAAACGCTCCACCATCATTCCGGTCCCCAAAAAGCCCAAAATCACTGGACTTAACGACTACAGACCTGTCACTCTCACATCTGTGGTCAAAAA